TTTATTCATTTTTAAGTCTATTTTGAGGTTACAAAACAGTTTGTCACGTTACATGTAGCTAGGATTAGTTTTGATTGCATTTAGCTCACTAGATCCATAGTTTAGGTTATGTTTTATGTTCCAACTAGTGTACTTTTTTTAAAGTATTTCTGGTCAGTTTTAGGCAAAGCTTTCCTATACTTTGTTGGCTTGTTTTCATGTCTATTTAAGATAGTAAAACAGTTTTTACAAATTCCTAGCATCTTAGTTCATAGGTCTTAGTTTCCATACATTCTAATATTTCAATTGGCATAAATTTTTATTTCCATTTGTGTTTGGTTTTTGTGTAAGGTTCCTACAGATTTTTGGTTCCATTTTAGGTCTAGATTAACTATGTAAAACAGTTTTTATTTTTATTTACATTTAATGCATGTTTAGGTGGTAATTAGTCACATAGGTAACGTTGGAATTTCAGTTAGTTCACTCGCATGTTTTATTTTCTGTTTTTATTTTAATTTTTTGCATTTAAATTATTTAGCTTTTATGTTTAAATTCTTGCTTAAGTGTGTTTAAATTATTTTCATGCCTTAGTTAATTTTTGCTTTATTGTTTAATTTTTTATTTTTAGCAATTTTTCATTTTTAGTAATTTCTATATTTAGTAAGTTTTAGTTCTTAAGTAGTTACCTTTTTCATAATTTGTAGTATTTAGATTTGGTAAGGTTTAATTTTCATGTAGGTTATTTAATAAAAAAAAAAGATTTTTGGTTTGACCAGATATATTCAAAGTGTCAAAATTGGTACTTACCCCTAAGTTTAAAATTCTCAATCCCTGATAAGACGATAATCTGAAATACTTTTAATTTTTATTACTTTTGTGACCTGTACACTTGCAATACTCCTGATGGATAGCAACAACGATTTTGAAGTGGAACTATTTTAGGGTTTCTTGAGGGGGTTTAGTTAGTTTGGTGTTTTTAGGATTTCAAGAGACTGTTTTGAGGTGAAAAAGTTTTAGTGTTTGAGGTGGGAGGTTAGCAACTTTAGTGCATTTTAGGATTCAAGTGCCGATTTTTGGGTCAATAGATTTTAGAGTTTCGAGTAAGAGGTTGTAGGTTTGGTGCTTTAAAGGTTTCAAATTGTGATTTCAAGGTGCAAATATTTTGGAGTTTCGGGTGTAGATTAATTGGTTTGGTGATTTTAGGGTTTCGAGTGATGATATTAGGGTAGGAGACTAGTGGGTTTGGTGTTTTTATGGTTTTATATTGCAGTTTTAGGATGTAGTGGTTCCGGGGTTTTGGTTGTGGGGTAAGCTAATTTGGTAATTTTTTGTGCTTCGGGTAGTAGTTTTTGGATGGAATTGTTTTAGGGTTTTAGGTGAAAGTGTGAAAACTCATACTTAACTTACGAGGTATTATCCCCTTTTATTCAAAAATCTTACAGTTTTATCTAACAAAAAGTGTTTTGCAAGTTTAGGTTTAGATCTCTACATATATCATATCATATTCACATTCTTCCAATGTGGGATTTGAGGTGTCACAATTTTTTCACCTTTAAAGCTTGACATTCTTATCAAACCAAGTTCAACCACAAGATCAAGTTCAACCACAAGACCAAGATCACACTAGATATTGGGATTCTAGAGGTGGCTCTCCACCATATAACACTTAATGACTCTTGTGGCCCATCATATAACACTTAGTGATTCCTATAAAATAGCACTTAGTTTTCACTGACTAGTGATCACTTTAATACAATTTGTGGAGACACGTACCTAACTTGCAAAAATATTGTTCGCTTTAACCCAAAAATTTCATAGTTTTATCTCACAAAAAGTACCTTGTAAGTTTATATTTAAATTTTTATATATATATCATATTATATTTACACATTCTTTCGAGACATTACAGTAAGTTAGCAGGTTTGATGTTTTTAACCAACAATCCCACATTAAAAAATATGTTTAATATTAAAGAACCTTAAATTGCCTGAAACCCTAAAATTACTAAAAACCCTAAAATCATCCAAAATCGTTAAAAACTCTAAAAGAATCTCAAAACCACTTAAAAACCTTAAAAATGCCCAAAATAAAAAAACCTTAAAAAACTTCAAGGTTAAAGTGTAACACTTAAAATCTTACTCTAATCGAACTTAATTAAAAAAAAAAAAAAAAAAAAAAAAAAAACCTCAACTCAATTATCATGAGTTAAAAAAAACATCAATTAAATTCAAACGAATCGAAATTCATCAAATACAAATTATTTTATCATCTATCTCAATTGATTTTTTATTACAAAATCTACAAATAATATAAAAGCAATCCCTCTGTTGAAACAGTAAAATATGCGCAATTCATACTTCATTAAAGTGACACATGTCACTTAACAAGTTATTCCTCTGTTGATCAATAATGCAACAAATTATTACACTTGTCCTTACTCATTACAGTTGAAGATTTTGAAAATCGACTCTTTAATTTTTTTTTGTTTTAGTTGGATAAAAGTAGTATATTTTAATTTTTTTAAGTAATCAATAACATGCAATTATTTTTATTTTTATTCATTCAATTAAATGAAATTAAATAAAATGAGCTTGTCGAATTTGTTTAATATAACGTTTAACTCTTTTTTATTTATCAAATAAACACATATATGCCTAAATATAAAAATTGATAAATTTCTTTATCTTTAAACAAATTGTTACATTTTCTTGGACGATAACAGTATGAATTAAAATAATATTATAATTAGTAAAAGAAAAAAAATAGTTATTATCAATAAATTTATATAATTTTCGTAAGGAAAATTTATATACCGTAAAAATGCTAATACACTGAATGTTTCATAATTTCAAGAAAAACACTATTTTATAAAAGTGGTAATAGTAAGCAATATAAATTTGTTGGATTCAAACTTCTGGTAATGATAGGTACTGTAGCTAAAAGTTTGTTTGGAAATGATCCTACCATTACGGTTAAATAATAGATGCACCTTGGAAATTATTATGATATTTATAACAATCTATACAAACTATTAAAATTATCCCCTCTCCTAAATTTTAAAGCTAGATAAGTATTGACAATTAAAATTGTTGTAATTTATATATCTTTGATTACTCTAAAAATAAATAAATAAAACATTATATATTATGATAAACTAATAAATTTAAATGTAACAATAATGGATTAACTTTTGAAAATAATATATGCATTTTTTTAACGAGAGAATTAAATTCAAATAATTATAAAAATTTAGAATAAATGAAAATCATATATACATACTATTAGACATATTTAGATCATTATTTTATTTGAGAATGTGCGAATTTAAATTTTTATATAATTATTAAGTCAAAAATTACAAAAATTTACATTTATCAAAAATAAAATAAATTTGTGACCTAAGCAAAGCCGGGGAAAATTTCTAGTTTATCTAACAAAAGGCAGAAGTTTAAAAAAAAAAAAAAAACTTACAAACAAAAAAAAATGTAAACCCAAAAAAAGTAAAATTTTTAAAAAATTAAAAAAAATGAAAAAAAAAATGGAGGTGCCATGTAAGTACCCAATACAAAGTGAAACACTTTAAATTTGTTTTCAATCTGATTTTATTTTCAAAAAAAACTTTAATTAAATTTTTTTTAAAGCGTACTGATATTGAATTTGTATAAATTAAAATTAATCGAATACAGATTATTTTATTATCTTTATCTCTATTGATTTTTTTTACAAAATTTATCAAATAAAAATTAATAAAAAAATTTAATAAAAATAAAATAAAAAAAATAAAAAAGTAGAGAAAAGAGGAAGGGGGTGCCATGTGGACATGTCACGGACCTAAGGAAGAGTTTTGAATCCCACATCGAAATAATAGAAAGGTCATTGGGGTATAAAAGGGTTAACAACATCTCTTCTTTGCGAGGCACCTTTTGTAGGATAAAATCGTGAGGTCAGGGGAGTCAGAGCAGACAATACCTCACAATGGTGTGAATCGTGATAGGAAGGCTGATCTGGGACGCTGGATGAGTGCATGCCTGGGTCCTGGAGCCGCGCGAGTTTGGAGCTTAAGTTTCGACTCGTGACAAGTGGTATCAGAGCCAGCCCTATACCGTTCGATCTACGTCGAGCATCTTTAGGGAGGTAGGCAGGGTGACCAGCCTCCGTGACGAAGGCGTCACGAGCTTGGGTGGGGGAGAATGTCACGGACCTAAAAAAGAGTCATGAATCTCACATCGAACATAATAGGAGGATCGTTGGGGTATAAAAGGGTTCACACCATCTTTTCATTGTGAGACGCTTTTTATAGGACAAAACCGTGAGACCAGGGAGGTCAGAGCAGACAATACCTCACAAGGGTGTGAACCGTGACACGAAAGTTGATCTGGGACGCCAGATGAGTGCATGCCCGGGTCCCGGAGCTGCGCGAGTTTGAAGCTTAAGTCTCGACTCGTGACAGACACACTCTCCTCCATTCTTCAGGGACTAAATAACTCAATTTTCTCTCGTAAATTATTTGTGTCAATTATTTTTTTTATTAAATCTATTTTTTATTTTTTACTATTTTTTTTATTTGATAAATTTTGTAAAAAGAATCAATGAAGATAAAGATGATATAGGTTAAGCAATTTGAATCAAGTCTAAATCGAATTTGAGATGTTCTACTTGACCTTTCTCGGAATATATAATATAATATATTTTATTATTTATTTAATTTATATTTATGTGTTATATTGATAAAATATTATTTAATACTTCAATAAAAAAATTTATATATAATTAAATTATAATTTATATTAAAAATAAATACACATTTATTTATATTTACCATCCATTAAAACTTGATATAAAAATTTTACTTTTTTAAATTTAAAAAATAAAAAATTATCCGCAACAGCACAGGGATCTATTTCTAGCATATATAAATGAATGAGAATTAAAAAAATACCGTTTACACCGAATTCGATTGCGTGTCATTTTTGCTCAATTGTTAGGGTAAAAAGGAGAAAAACCCAACCGTATCAAATTTAAAAACTGCATGGTATCCGCAAATGGTACTGTAAATGAATAATAACTTGTATTATAATCTCAAAATATTTTGCCATGATAAAGTAAAAAATAAAAATCACTAGCTACATTACTTTATTACGTGCATGTATTATATGGCATCAAGAGGAAAATGGAGAATGTGTACTCCCATTTCCATCAGCTCTCGCCAAAAATATAGAAAAATCCTATTCTGATTCTTTCTGGTCTAACAAAATTGGAGCAATATGCTACGCAAGAGATTCTCGGGAGCATTAATTAGATGTGGTAGCAGCCACTCAATACCACAAATGGTGACTGCCAGAATTGACAGCTTGAAAACAAGCTGATCACATTTGTACAGCAAGCAACAAAAGCTTCAACCAATATGTCAATAGCTGCAGGCTGATTCTATCTATGGGCTGCAGTCAAGTCAAATTTGGGATATTGCGATGACCGTCAGCAAACTCTCGGATTACTCGTTTCAGCACTCGTCCTCCTTTCCCTTGCATATGTCCATAATCGCTCCTTCCTCTATTGGAGCTCTTGCTCTCAAGATAATCTGAAGCCGCACCAGCAAGGGCCTTCAACCAAACTGGCACTAACGTTTCAGCTTCTCCCTGATTCAGATAGTCAGCTGGAAGAGCCTGCACCTGATAAAACTGAAGAAATTCAACAAATCGGAGATTGAACCAAGACAGCAATTCAAATTACATAACTTCTCCCCCACAGTGGCACAATATCTTTCATATAGCCTACACAAAATAGTGGGAAGAACTAGTTTTTGGTGTTAGATATTCCCTCATAAGACGCAAATACTCTTAAATAATTCAGCCCTAGAAGCAAAACTTCAAACAACTGCATCAGATAGCTAGGTCCCTTTTTGAGTGACTACCATAGTCTAGACTAGCCATGAAAGCTGCCGTTTGGTATACATATTTAAGAAGAAAAGCCTAGCAAAGTCAATTCAGCATTGGCACAATGGATACATTGCGATGGCCCTGGAAGTCACAGGTTGAACTCACAAAAACAATCTCCCAGCAAAGTCAGGGTATCACAGCATACATCTGACCCTTCCAGAACCTTGCAATGGAGGAGCCTTGTCCAATGAGCAATTCTTTTACCCTACATTCATTTTGGCATTTCTATGGCATGCATATAGGGGGAGCCAAAACAAAACACTCAACATCTTAACAGGATGAAAGTCAAAAAGAAAATCAAATCATACAAAATTAAAAGATGGTTCAAAGTTAGTAGGTCTATAAGTCTAAGTTACAGAATAACACAGTTAGGATTAGCCAAAAATGAAAATGACTAGGTCAGCTGCATAGTTAAGCTCTAAAATTTCAGCGAATGCAGCAATTGCAAGAATATTCATATGCATCTTAAGGAAAAGGAGGGAAAGAGAGGAAAGACCGCTGCTTGTAGCCATGAATGCAAGAATTTCGAAGAAAGAATGGCCTTCCAGTTTGTTCTTTCACTCAAACAGCAAATTGCAGCTAATTGTTGCAATATTGTCGTACACTTCTGAACCTATTAAGATGAAAAAACAGCATAATTTGTCAGTTGAGTAAAGACATGTGCAGTCAATTATTCGTAAGAGTCTTTGATGTATCATGGAATGTGAGAGGCTTCATTGCCTTTATACTAGACTAAATGCATATCCAAAAGATATTATTTAATCCATAAGTAGCCAAACCAAGGTCATCAAGATGTGAAGCTCGCAGCATTAAATTTTCATAAAATATCCATATAGCTGCCCCAACTAATTTATTTGACACTTACATAAGAGATACTCATTCCTTTCCTCCAGTATCTTCAAAATGTCTTTGAATAAATTAGACATTTTAGCTAACAGAACATTTTCTAATGGCAAGGCCACCGATATAACAAAATGTTTATACCACTTGTATAACAAAATGTTTATAGATGCACAAGTAATTGACCATAGACATGTCAAATGTTACTCTTATTTTTACTTTTTGACAATGTAACAAAACACTTAGCCCTTTACTCCTATTTATGCAGCTACTTCACTACAGGATCACCTGGAGTTAAAATTATTGTTACGTCATCTAGTGACATTGGGAATTTTTAGCAGGATCTCTGGGCTAGCCTCAAATACCAAGGCTCTTTTAGAAAGCTTTGGTACGGGGCTTATTATGACTCTTCGGTAAACTTTACTTAGGAAACTTGACTAACCACTGCATGTCATCATGATTGCTTCATCGTATTTAAAACATTTTGACACTAATTTCCTATTGGGAACCTTAACAATCCCTCTGATTCTATACCTCTTCTAACCTTCATTTGGCAAGGGATAAAAGATAGCCACTATGAAGATTGAGAGCTCTCTCTAAACGCACTTCCCCTTGTTTGCCTTATCGTAACTTACTCGATAACTTCTGTCAGTAAATAAAACCTAACCCTCAAAGCATCACCAAAAGAGTTGCATTCTTGAACCCTCCCTCAACTATTAATGTAAAGATAATGCGAGATTTAAACTTCAATCCTCTGCACCAAATAATCTCATTATCGCTGCAATGGTTTCTCAATACTTCAACAGATGTTAAGTAAGATCTAGGCATTTTAAATTTCCAAGTCTAAAATGAATATCAGTTGATGCCCTTTAATTAAAATCTAAACATAGTAGGTGAATAAAACAAATGACATCAAGGGTTTACTCCAAAACAAGGGGTTTTCAAATGGAATGCATTCATTAATCTATTTGAGATTCAAGAATACAGCATTTACCCGTGACATTGCTGAGACACCAAGTAAAGCATACACTATATTTGATACAAGTCCCTCCCCACTATGAGAAACGATATGAATTGCTGTGGCACTGAATGATCCTTCAGGAGAAAAGGTCATTGATTCCAATAAAGAAGCAAGGCCAACTTCCAAGAAACCTAAAAAGACTCGAAGCAAATTCTATAAATATCCTTCACCTAGTTACAATTGAAACAGAATCAACTCACAAGAACAGACCAGCACAAGTGCACCTAAAGAATAAATACAAGCAATTATAATCACTAACACTGGTTTCAATTCAGTGATCTGATTGTGTTTTATGTTATGAACAGACTCACATATATATGTGTACCCTTGTCGTGGAATCATCTGATTGTGCCATTAAAGAGAAAGAAGTCTAATTTAGTACAGAAACAGATGTATCATATGTAAACTGGAATTGCTGAAGCATGGTGTGTGTTGCCAAATGCTATTGCAGGGACAAAACAGAGTGAACGGGCTTCATATCACAAAGTGAATTTTACTTCCTACTAAAAATCACCCCAAGTGAAGCTCCAGCATTAAAAGTCAAGGAATATTTTTGTGTCTCCATATTTACTCTTAGAGCAAAGCAAAAGGAATTAGTTGGCTTGAATTGCAAACATAAGGCAATTTTGAAGAAAAGATTGAAACTGTAAACATCAGTTGAATTGTTTCCTTCAATAATGCAGATTTGATAGAAAACATCATTAGGATTCAGACTCCACAGAGAGTTATCATTAATGGCTCTTATCTTTGATCTCACAGGTACAAGGAAGCAAGTAGTAGTTAACATATAGCGCTTACAAGACAAGTATGACATAGCTGCAAGTGCTGCCCCACGATGCATAGCAGTGCAGCATATAGCTGCCTTTTGAAAAGAAATTTCTAGAAGAGCACCAGATGCAGCCAATACTTCCTGAGATTTTTATTAACCAGCAAGAAAAATCATTCCCACAGAAGGCAAGTCTTAATAAAATGTGTATAAAGTACATGTCCTGGATTTTATTTCCAATAAAAGACAAAAAAAAAAGAGCAAGAAAAGCATGATAAATAGTGAAATAATATGAATACTACACCTTATGAGAGCCACGAACAAATGTCAATGCAAAATTTGTGTAGGCCTCCACTAGATCAGGCTCTTGGTCACATACATATGAAGAATTAAGGGCCATTACTGAAGATGCTTGGGTAAATCGTTCAAATGTGCTCATGTACAAAGGACCATACTCCTCTTTGTGACCAAACTCTTCAATAACAACGGAAGCTGACAAGGAGTAAATTTCGTATAAAAAATAAGCTCATTGAATGTGGCTATCTACTATGTGTATCATATTTACTTATATTCGGGAAAAGAAAAAAATAGCATCCATGTCACAGTATCACTTCAAGAAACCAGACAAAGACTTCATTGAAAAATAAAAAAACTAGATTATTACTCCATTTTTTGGTTTAGAACTGGAGCACAGTCAAGCAGATCAGGCGAAGGAGAAGACAAATAATGGTTATGTACGTAAACATGAAGTATACAAACCATTTTAAGCATCTCATATGGTGCTTTTGCTAATTCTTCAACCATGAGCAGAGATGATAATGATAATTCAAAAGGGCTATGATTCAGGTAAGTATTAAGCATGTACTGTCAAACCAACAAACACCATATAGAGTTTTTATAATCAAGAAAGGTGAATTTTGGACAAAATACCATATAACTAATTGCACCAATTGCTTAAAATGTACAGTCTAAATACTTACCAGTTCTGATGTAGCATTCATGACTTTGAAATGACAAAAAGTTTGTTGACAGGCAATCTAATATTTTGGGCAGTAGCATTTCAAAGTGCTGGCCTGCACAATTAAGCAATTTCCAGCATTGTAGCATCATGCAATCAAAAGACTCCATTTCCCCCCAAGTAAATTCCAAACTTGGTTGATTTAAAAAAATAATAATAAAAGCAAAGAAAAAAGGTGGAAACTTTGTCCAGAACCTGAGGATTGAATTGCTAGCGAAAGAGCACGACAAGCTGCAGTGGATAAACTACTGTTCTCCATATGTTCTGATCTAAAAAGCTTCTCCAGCATAGGCCAGAAAACCCTAATTACAGCAATGATGGGATTATCAGTAGAAGCCTCATACAGAATAGGCATTGCCAGATGACTGAAGACAATTCCCATCCTGAAAGCCAGACAACCGAAGATTACACCTCAAATTCAAATAGCCATATGTCCTATCTGAAGCTCCACCAATGATAGAAATACGGTTGCATAAAATTGCACCGAGAAAAGTATGATATGTGATGTGATTAATTACTCTGAAGAGAATACCTGTGCAGCCCTCTTGTTGCAAAGCTCAAAACTTGGGAATAGGCAGCTGGATTCTGTCTTAGAGAACGGTTATTATTATCTTCAATCTGAAAGAAAATTATGCTGTTAATTGTAATTCAAGATTTTATGATGTAAAATAACAGTCTGCAAAAGTTCACATCAACAGCAAAATAATCAAGCAACTCCCTCAATAAAATTCAAAAGGTGCTAAATGGTGAATAGATGGTCATATAAAGAACTAAACAAATAAAACCTACAGATGTGCATTCATTCTCATCTGCCAACTGCTCTATCAGCTTTTTTGTACTACATCTCTCTTTCCAATCAGCTTTGCATCTACCACCACAGAACCCTTCTCCATATCATTCAGCTTATATTACAACTAAAATCTCCTCGTAAAATTGCTACCAGCTGCCACAAAACAACACCACACCACACCCAGAGTGAAATAATGTTTTTCCTCAACTTTTCCTTTCTTTGTAGTGATTACAAACCAACAACAGTAAATAGAAAAGCAAATTCTGTAATGATAATAGGTATGATTATTTCCAACTTCATATAGTTTTAAAAACATTCATCTTTGCCTGTAAAGTTGCACTGACAGAAAATAGGTCAGTAGAAAGGATATCCCAATAGCAAAGTAGCTGACAAAACCCAACAGAGCAGGACCAGGGGAATTTCAAACCCTGGCTTGCAGAAAGTTGCCAAGCAACAGTATATGATACTACATATCTACTCTAGGCTTCAACTGGGAGAAGCAAATGGACTTTCAACCAAACATAGCATTATTTAATGGTGGGAGGTCAGACATTCAAAAAATAGCATATTTTCTTCCTCAATAAAACATAAGGAACTAAGATAGGGAAAGTAGCTCAACAAAGACCTGCACAGAATAGAAATGGCATGGTTGCGCTCAATAAGAGAGAATGAAGAAATTTAGCATACACAAGCACAAAATGGCAAAGACTAACGATTCTAAAAATTCCAAAACGGCAAAGAAGCATTTATCGAGATTCCTTAAAATCCAAAATCATTTTGAATGGAGCTGTTTGCCTGCTATGCTCTATACTACAGACTCTGAACTCAATTCAGAAATCTGACCCAGCACTGGCTGCAGCAAGTGCAAACTTAAAAGAATCTAAAATCCTCCCATCGGGTTGTCTTTAATGTCCAACCAGCTAATAGTTTGTTTCTAACCTACATCTGAGTAAAAATATGCGGTATGTTGGACATATCTCAACATCTGTAGTTATCATATAAGACCAGTTTTACTCTACACCCATTCCAGCTAGAGTCAAAAACATGCCATAAAACCCAACAGTTTCAGCCTCTCTTCACTCCATCTGTAAATGATGCAAAGTTAATGAATTCATACCATCTCAAATTGCAATACCTCATGATAATTGCTACAATAGTAATCAGTAAAAGCAACATGCATTAAAAACTCCTTTAAAACAATTTTCTCGATTCAGCAGCATTTAAACTTTTTAAAGCCAACTATTTGCTGCAGTGAATCATTGAAGAAATTTCAATAACCTGGTTAATACAACTACTAGCAACAAGACTGAACAGGAAAATAACCACGAAACCATAAAAATAGACCAACTACTATAAAAAGTAACTGACAAGTTTCCCAATAGCTTCATAGCTGGAAGATAGCAATCTAGATAATAAGTTGTTCTGTAGCTCCTTGTCAGAAACAGAGCCAAGGACCAGGCTGATTGCGCTAACAACTTCTTCTTCATCTTCCAAAGGAAGACACTTCTTCTCCAAAGCCTGTGAGAAGAAATGATAAAGAAAATAGAAAACAGGATAATGAACGATATATTTAGCAACTATCTAATTTCAATAAGAAATGTTAAAGCAGCTGAAAATGTAGAAAGAGGAAAATGAAAGCAACAAGAAGAAAGAAAAGATAAAAACCAAACAACAGTGATAAGGAAAATTGTTGGCAACCAACAGTTCATAACATGTTGGATCATCAGCTCTATGTTTTAAATTATTCTGGAATTATGCTTATGCAAAGAGTAAACGAAAATAAAGACCTGGCATGGAGAGTATATATGTATGTCAAATAAATTCTGAAAACTTACCACAATTACATGAAGCATTTAAGTATTTTTCACTTTTTACCATATAAAAGAACATGAAGAATAATTACCTCCCATATCCACATCAAGATATCCAAATTTGATGGCTCAAAGGTCACAGCAGAAACATCTTCGCAAAATTTACGGAGGGCAGACGCACAAGCATTTGAGGACAGCGGTTCTGAAATCCCTGCAGCAAGAAATAATCTGGAAGTAGCAAATTAGTGAAACAATGAAATGGTGCATCCCATATAGATTGATAATAGATTTTGCACAACAAATTGTATTTTTTCTTTGCTCTTCACCTAAAACATAACAAAGACAAAATGATTATGTAAAAACACAGGCAAGATTACTACAATATATCTAATAGAAAGAGAGCACCTCATCGCTAAAAAATATAAAATAGGCATCCTTACAGTGAGGGTCTAGCATTAGTTTGCAGGGGACATATCCACTTGGAATAGGAACCAATAACATCTGCAACCGATCTGTAAACCTAGTTAAAAGGAAAAACCCTCCTAAGGAAAAACATTTTTCAACAAACCTACCATTGAGAAATAATATTCATTGCAAATCAAAAGAAGGAAAAAGTAGCAAATATTTTGAGAGGCATAACTGACATACAATGCACATAAATCCCTTGAGATTATCAGAAGGCCAAGAAGATAACACTGTAACCAACTGCATAATCACAGAGAAATCAAAAGTTTGGCCCCCTTGCAAGACCACTTCAGAAACCTGCAATTGCAGGACTCCTACATTATTAAAGTTCCAAGAAAATATGAGGAAATGATAAACTTGTGAATAATCAAGATGGATTCATCCAGTCACGTCTCAAGTGAAACATATTACAAAACCTCTAATGAGGAGTTGCACAAGAACATAACACTAGTGGTCCCACATTAACAGCTGCTTCGTAAAAGCTAGAGCATTTTAGACATTAGAATAGCAAATAGTGACAAGTGTGACTTAAAACATAAATAAAGATGAAGTACAAATACCTGCAAGAAAGGTGTAAGAAATAACAAATTACCCAAATTAATTACATGCAAAATATGCACATACATACACTGACACACATTTTAGATTTGCAAATGTATAAATTAAATATACACAACCTCCTTGACCATTAGCTCAAGCAGTAAAAAAGTCGATTGGAGTTGGTAAGTGTTCATGACAAAAATAAAAAGGAACACAGAACACCATTTATCAGAAGCCAGCAAATAATGTATACAATGCAAGAGTCATCTGACGACATTGGAAATAATGAAATCAATGCACCAAGAACTCAAGGAGACAAAAACCGGCACAAAGAGATACACTGTGCTTACCACATTGAGGGCAAACAATTTGATTTCTACCTCTTTCCAAGGTATTGCCACATTTGAAGAAAACCAACCACAGAAGAAAATCTGGAAAATGAAAAATGAATGAAACAATATAAAGTTGAATAACACCATACTTCGTTACAGAGGCAACAAACGGACAAAAAGGTAACAGCATAAAAAGACAAAGGACACATTGCTAGAACTAATTAGTTATATTATATACACTGATTAAGAGTCCTCGCAGATTGATAAGCATGCAACATTAACGGAGGCAGAGTTCAGCAAATATATCATAGCAAAAAGGAAATGAAGGTAGAGCCACGATGATTCTTAAACTGCAGTAATTACAATAGTATATTAAACTTGGAGGAAGAAACAAAACAAAAGCTTGAAAAGGCATCAAAAAGAATTTAACCAACAAAACATGGACTTCAGCTTTATAGAAGAGATATCATCAATCAGAACAACTTTTAAACCAGTTGAACCACATGGACTAGGAGTATACAACAGAATCAGCACCTTTTGTACAAATGTAGCAGGTTGTAGTAGCTGACATATATCCACCAAAAGTTCAACAAGATTCGTCCTAAATTGGACAAGACCATCGGGCAACTCAAAAGTTCCACTCTCGTCATTAAATGTAGATTCATCCACCTATGAAAGACGATTTCAATGTATTAGTCTCCATTTTCAAATATTAATAGCATAAACAGACATGCTCGTGTGCACAGGTAGTCACAAAGAACAAAAAATGCTAAGAAGTAATAGTCAATGTAAAGTTACATTAAATTGAAGCGATTGTTCAGCCTTCACAACAATAATTAAAGCAAGCATTCATGTCAGTCGCTGAGTTGTTAGAAATACATCATAGGTGAACAAGTTAGGGGCTATCAACCAAATTACTCCTCCCAAGGTTGTGCAATACGACTAGCGGTTAATCCATTTGGAACCCATTTCTCACCTATCAGCATGTTATTAATAATAGAAAGCATGAAATATTCAAGAAAGTGAAAGTACATAGACCATGACATCCCCCAAAAATGTGGTTGGATTGGGTAGTTCAACAAAGGCTTTCATGTTCAAGAAGAATACAAATTGCAAGGCAATTACATCATTTGGTTAAAATAGTAGCAGAATTCTACCGAGGTTTCCAAAAGCATTCATCCAAACACAAGCCCAAAAGGTGTCCTATAGGCCCTCCACTGCAAACTAAGGGAAGATTCAGCATTGAAACAGAATGCAGCAACTCAAGCCAAAAAAATAAAAATGAATGCAGTATCCATCTCAGAACCAAGCTTAAACCCCCAACATGACAGAACCTATCATTCTCTTCAGGTAATTCAGTTCCCTGACCCTTCCTCTTGCTTCAAGCTAAAAATCTGTTGCCTCAATTAAGATGCAAGATACTAATACAATTAACTTGCAAAATTGAAAATAAAATTTAGTCAAACTAGTTGAGACATCTATAAGTTTGGCTCCAATTGGTTGCAAGTTTTCTCCTTGCTTTCAGCTATTACTTTATGCTTTTTCAGTTTATTTTGGGCAAAACACAAGATCTTATTTCCCAAAAATGAGTAAATTGAATGACAGTGCAAACATGATAGTTACACATCCCAATTACACCTATAACGCTCGTCTTTTTTTCATAGAGATAAGGAAAAAAAAAGATGAAGGATAGGTTAAAGACTAGGAAAAAACCTGAGCACGTAGTAAAAGAGCATCAAATAGTGCTGAGAATACAGGAAAAAACATGCCCTCGACACTTTTTTTATTTGCACCATCAACATCAAGACCAAGTATATAGCTTGCAAGACTAGACCTGGAAATGAATGAAGATTGAGCCTCCAAATAAAAAAATTAAACAAAACAAAGAACATAGTATACTGCAAAACAAGCTTTCTTTCAACAGAAGTGTTTCGGAAGTACCAAAATTGCAAAGTAGAGTCTGCAATATCCCAGTCTTCACATGGAAAAACCACACAACTGACAGCACAAATTACATTCGAAATCGGGAATTAAAAGAATGCCAGGATGAAATATTAATTAAAAGCAAAAGGTACCGAAACAAAGACAAAGAACCAGCAAACTGTTGAGGAGAATTCATCCTAGCATGGGCCCTTTCCAAATTGTGATCCCTTTTGCATATGACGATACCCATTATACTTATGAAGGATCTATAACATGTTTATAAACTTTTAACACCCAATTTCCTAATTAGTTACCTATAAAATCCTGCCTGAAGCAAATAGCTGTCACTCATTTTACCACATTTGGGGTTATAACAGCAAGGCAAAGAATGATTATGGGAGAAAACGTGTTCATCAGCTTCCACAGAAATATCAGAATGCAAATATGATTGGTGAATTGAAAATTTAAAGATCAATACATCACCTCAACAGAGCATCCGTCAGCACAAGTGCCTCAGCACTTGCCTCTACGATCAAAGATGGTGCCTAGTGTAAATAAAAGTGGGAGATGTTAATAAGGAAGTGAGTTGAAGATATGCCATCTTGGATCTAACATCACTATCAGAAATGGGATGCCCAATACAAAGTTGTCGGCATAAGCATGAAAGTTGAAACACTTTTCAGTAAGAATAATATTAGTGGATGTAGACTTAAAAGGGGCCATGAGACCATACAAAATACTTACAGCCTGCCCAATTTCAGACATCAAACATGCAAGGCCAGCAACCACCTTCTCATCTCCACCAGTAAGGGCCGGTAGAAGAAGCATCTCTCTTAGAAAAGGTACTCTGCAGAGCAAAACCTGAGGCAGTCCCTATGAAAGCAAGCACAACATTAACTAGATAAATAGATGTAACAAAGTAAAAGAAAAAGGTTTTACAAGAAAGTAAATCATAGAACAAAATCCACAAAGTAGAGGACTATTGCACAGGAAAAATTAAGTTAAATAAATATAGTCAGTCACACCAAACTGCATACTGCAATTTGGTAGAACCATACCTCATGACGACTCACTAGTTCAACAAGAACTTCAACAGCCAAGTCAAATGAAGAGGATACCTATGACCCCAGAGCAAATATAAAAAATATGTACAATAACCACATGGCTCAAAAATCATGACATTGATAGTGAAATGATACCTGCAGGGAGTTGAATACAAAATTAAGCAGAGGATGTGTTGCCAATGAACCTTCGGAGATCTCTGAGAAGCACCCAGCACGAACCTAAACACAAAAAATAAAAAAAAGAGTAATGAAGTAATGGGTTCCAAAAAATCAGAGACTTCATATAACAGTTTCTTCTTTCTTTCTTTCTTTTTGTGTGGGTATGTGTGTCTAAAGGAGCAGATTTTTGTAAGTCACAACTCTGAACGGAGGACTTGACATGATTTCAAGTAACCATATTACCCAGCTGAGTAAACAACGGAGAACTTTTCTGTTCCTTTCATTTGGTTGCAGGCAACCTTCAAACTTATTTTCAGACTGCTGGAGTAGGAATTCAATAACCATAGGAGTATGTGAAAGAAGCTGCTTCACAAAAAAAATAATAATGATGAATAAATCTATAATAAAAAAAACCAGCAATGGCAAAAGAGAGGAAAAGAGAACACAATTAAAACAAAATGAAGTAGAGGAGGCAGCAAGCACAATATGGAAAATAGAAAACCTCTTGGCCATACTGGCTTCTGTGGGATGCACTTATTTTAGAATCAGTAGTTTGGGTGTCAACAATTTCCTCTGGTAGAACAGTGAGCATTTCAAGTACAGCAACAATCCCATCATTCTGGCTGCGCAGATTTTGTAGACTAAAAAAGAGTTGCTCGATAGGTTTTCCATGCTCAACAGATCGAAGTATAAGGGCAGAGAGTGCAAGGCAGATTTGGGTTAATAGCTGTTATCAAGAGAAAAGGAAGCTTAGCAATAGCAGCAGCAGTATTAAATCCTATTGGTTTTTTTTCCTTTTTCTTTTTACAGAAAAAATAAAATCCTATGGTTTAAATAAAGACAGCCTTCAGACAGAAAAATAGAAAAGCAGCACCTGCGGAGGGCCCGAACTGAATCTTTTAGCAGCCACAAGAAGGGCATTAAGCAAAGCATCTTTAACTCCTAGTTGCAAATAATATCCTTCGTTCTGGATCTGCACCAAAATATTTGGAAAATAGAAGAGGCAAGTTTTTATTAATTCCAAAGTTCCCATACTAGTAAAAGCAACTTGAACATTTTGAGCAAATATGAGAGTGTTAGACTATAGAGAAAGCGCCAGCCTGATGCTACTGATAAACTCCTTGAAAGCTAAAAACATTTTCCAAAATCTAAGCATACCTTCCGTTTGAGAATCTGAGCAGCAAAAAATTCAACTTCAAAATCGGAGAATAAACGAGGGTGATCAGAGGTAAGGATTGAGGAAGCGACCTCCCAGGCCGCCTCCGTCTGTTGGAACTGAACCAACCACTGATTAGCTGCAACGCGGTTACAAGATTCTGTATCGTGATTCAGCACATGGACAGCCTGCGCCACCTTTATTTGCAGCTCCATTTTCTGATTCTAAAAATGCTTGACCAATCATAGAAAGCCAATGCTACGAGAACACAAAACTGTGCCAGTATTTCCTTTGATTCATTTCTTCATTTCCTCTTCTCAGTAATTCCTTTAAATTTTCAAACTCAGTTAATTCGAGCTATAAATTATTTTGCTAAGCACAACAAATATTCACTGTAAAACCAATATATGATATTTATATAAATCATAAAATTTAAAACACGATAAAGTCGAAAATCACCCCAATAAGATATGAATCCAATTTAATTTCCTGCAAACAAAGCAAATTGCTATTTTCCATTTAAAAATTACTAAACAGAAAATAAAAGAATAAAAAATAAAAGCAAAAACCCTAACCTTTAAACTTCGGGATTGTGAATGGAGAGCGAAGGGAGAGAGAAGGGTGAAGGAAATGAAGAAGGCGGCTCACTCTAGGCCAGACAGGGGCAGGTGGGAGAAGGGAAGGAAGAAGAGACCGAAGGTGGACTTAAGGACCATAAAAGGCGGATGAAAGGGAGGAAGGAGGAGGGAGAAGGGAATGAAAGGGGTAGGCGTAGCCGGCCGGCGTAAAGAGGGTCAGATTTCCAGCGACCAAGGCGGAAAAATTAGGTTTCAATCCAAGGACGGAAGAGTGAGCTGTAAGAGAAAAAAAAAAAAAAAGAAGAAAATAAAATGCATAAAGAAGGCGTCTGGTCTGCTGAAATCTAATTTTCCCTCTCGGAATTTCTATGTATTAATGTCATGTTTTTTGTTTGGTATCAATACTATTTATAACATTCAGATATTTTAAAGTGTGAAATATACATGAACTCTGAAATCTATCTACTTAGGGTTTTTAAGATTCCACTAGCAATCTAAATTTTATTCTTTTTTATTGAACGAATAGTTTTTAAGATTTAATTAATCCTTTCATATCAAAATAGTTGAACGATAAACTGGATCACAAAAAGACATTCCAAGCATCAACACTTTCTAATAATGATTAAATTTTTTTTGAGGGTTTATAATTAAGTTATTCTTTTCCAGCGATTAAAATTTAAAAAAAAATCATATTTTTAAAATAAAAATGAAATTTATATTGAAAATATATAATTTTGATAAGATTTTTTTTCAAATATCTATAATTTCAATAAGACAACGTTTTTAGATGAACTGTATTTTCCTTGTAAAAAATATACTATAAAAAAATTACTTTTCAAAATTATATGGTAGCAACAATAACAATATTTTTAAGATTAAAAATGTAATTTTTGTTGAATTTTGAAAAAAAATATTTTTTAGAACAAAAAATAATATTTTTTAAATTAAAAATGTGATATTTATTAAGATTATATTGTAAAAATTTTATTTTTCAAAATTTTACAATTTTAACAAAAATAATGGTTTTAACATAAAAGATTATGATTTTTGTTAAATTCTGAAAACTTCATTTTTAGAAACAACACAGACAATGATTTTAAGATTAAAAATGTGCTCTTTGTTGAAATATATTATGCAAAAAATTTATTTTTCAAAATCTTATAATTTTTACAAAAATAACATTTTTAAGATTAAAAATGTTATTTTTCTAAAATTATTAGGAACTAAATTATTTTTTAAAATTATATAGTTTTAACAAAGACAATGTTTTAATAAACGTTATCTTTGTTGAAATTATATTGTGAAAATAAATATGACCTTATATTTTTATAATTTACATGTTGAATAAACAAATAATTTACATGTTAAATATATTATATGTGAAACAAAATCTAAAATATTTTAATTTAATATTATTACATATAAATAAGTAATTTAAATATAAGTATATGTCATTAGCAATTCCTATATTTTTATATATGTCATATGCTATTGACGTGTAATTAATATAAACATAATAAAAGATTGCACTATATAATCTTACTTTCTTCAAACTAAATACAAAAATCTTATATTCTTATAAATTTACAAAATTAAAAAATCACACATTTCTCATAATTTACAAATTTATTCTAAATCACTTCCCCTTCTTAAATCTTAAAATCTGCAACCCAAACGTCCTTAAAGTGTTTTTATGATTCTAAGATATATCAAACAGATAATGAGGTCTATTGCATAAAATGTAAATTTTCTATTCAAAAGATGTTTTTATCCCATATCAATCCTAAAAACAAAATAAAGTGTGGTTCTTCGAATTAAAAGTTTAGTTTTCAAATTTAAAGCAATAAACTTTTCAAAAATGCAAGAAAAAAAGTGTGTTTGTGATAAAAAAAAATTATTTTATTTTTATATATTTTAATATTTTATTATTTCATATATATTTCTAAATATTTCAATTATTCACAACACTTTTTCATATTAATACCAAACACATAAAATTTCTAACTACTATTTAAAAACAAACTATAACCACATTTTTCTCATCACATTTTTTAAACGTATTTTTTCAACTCAAACTTTTTTCAACCATAACAAAAATACTAAACTAGACCTAAATCATTAATATCTATATTTATATCTATACTATTAATAAAAGGTTTACTAAAAAATACTATTAATGAAAAAGTTTAAATTTGAGTTTTTTTGTTAAGAAAGTTTGATTCGGTTCACTTAATACCAATGTTAGATATAATGAAAATAAAAAATAAAAAAAATTATTTAATATAAAATTTTAAACATTTTTAATTAATTTTATTTTTAAAATTGTTCACACAGTCAATTAAAAATACCAATACTTTTATAATTAATTAGTTTTTTTCCTTTCACCTATTTTTATAGTAACTAGATAGTGCCTCCATCGCATGTAGTCATTTTAAAAAATCTTAAATTGAATAATATTGCAAAGTAGTAATAATAAAAATAAAAGTTATTAAAAAAATTCTTTATCTTCTTACTCATTTTCTAAATAAATAAAGATTTAATGATTTATTTTATTTATTATTTAATTTTACAACATAATTTCATTTATTTCAATTTTACTTTTCATAAATTCCATAATTTTACTTTATTTTCTTATTTCCATTTATTATCATTGTTTGAAAATCAATATTTATAGTAGACATTTTGAGGCCTTTTAAATTATTTTTCATATTAAAATATTTTTAAAAAATTTATTATTAAATTTTTTTTGTAAAATTTTATCATAAAAGAATTTTAAACAATCAATTTTTTTATTTATTGATTTCTTTACCTAACAATCTATCAATATCATTAATTTTAATAATTAACAATAAAATAAAATAAAAAACAAGTCCCTTTTTTAATTTTTTTTTCTTTTTATTCTAAAAACAATGTTGTTTAAAGATACATATATATATATATATAAATCCATGTTAAAACCATAACCTTATGTTCTTTTAATCTTTTTTTTTCATGCCAATTACTTCTTTCTTTTGCTTTTCCTGCCTTCACCCCACTAGCGTCCTTCTCACCCTTCAATCCCTCCCTTGCAGATAGCAATGTTCTTGCCACTGGTTGCATCTTCTTTTTTTCCTTAATTTTTCTTTTTCATTTTATATTTTCTTGCACCGTTTCTTTTTTCCTTTGTTCATGTTCCTTTTCTCACTTTTCTTCCATTCCTTCTCTTTTCCTTTAATTGAAATTTTTAATGTTTTTATTTTTTAGTTTTACCTTTTTGTTCAATTTCTTTCTTCTGATGTTTTTTATTTTTTGGTAGTTGTAGTTTATGATTGTGAAACTATTATGGATTTAGTATTTTTCTATGAAGAATTTATTGGCAATGCTTTTCTATGAGGATTTTTTTCTAGAATTTCACTTTTATTTTTTGTTTATTGGTGGCATTTGATTATATGGTTATTATAATTTTTGGAAAAAACAAATGGCAAAACCTTTTTCTCTTGCATTTTTGTTACTTTCTAATAAGTTTTAAGTTATGAGCTTTTTAGTATAATTGTTTTTTTGGTAAATTTATTGTATTTTTTAACTGGTATTTATAGGTTGGGAGTTTTTGTTGCATGTTTCTTCTTTTTTTTTTTTGTATAAAAAAGCTTGTAGCTTCATGATAAATGAATCAATTATAGGCGTTGAGATTTAAACGTCAAACTTTTTGGATGTAAGGGTGGTTATAGAACCAACTAAGCTAAACTCTGGATTATTATATTGTTTTTTTCTTTTCTATTTTTTCACACAAAAAATTCTTTAGATCAATATATTTTCAAAAACCTAAATAATAAAAAACCAACCTAATTGTTGCCAAATGGTAACTAATTGCAAACTCAATTTTGCTTTAATTGAAAACATGGCACTTGCAATAATTTTAGTAATTAATAGATAATTGATCATCAATCTCATTGGGAACCATACTTTTCTTATCATTATATTACTTGATTTGCAATATATATGCGCTTGCAATTAGTGTGATAATTTTCACAATAAGTTTTTAGCGGCGTTACCTAGTATTAATTTTCTTATCTTTACTAATATTGATAACAAATAACTCTAGTCTTAATATAGCTTGTTTTTTTTACTTTTTTTTTTATTGTTAGGGTTTTTTATAATGTAAGAGATGATTAATCAATTACAATATAATACATTTGATTCTACAGTTGAGCTCACTTGTCAACATAATAGAAAGGATAAAAGATAAGCTTATAGACAATCTGGTAATGAGATTAAACCAATATTAAGAAGAATCAAATAGAAAGAAATTTAAAACTAGTAAAGAAGACAAAATAACCGAAAATCAAAAGAATCAATGATTTATGAGAGACTTTGTAATCTCGTTGGTGAATGATACAATTTTTAGGATTCGGCATTCAAGTTAATAATTTTGAAATCAAGCATGCTATTTTTCAAATGATCTAGATACCAATGTAGTTTTGTGGATTGCCAAATGAATGCTTATATAGTCATTTTTTAGAGATTTGTGATATATTCAAGTAGAATGGAGATTCAAATGAAGTAATCCACTTGATAATATTCCTCTTTTTATTGAGAGACAAGGCCAAAAAATTACATAATTCTCTACCAACATGGAGTATTTCAACTTAAGATGTACTAGCACAAAAGTTCTTATCTAAAATTTTCCCACTAACAAAAACTGCCGAGCTAAATAATGATATTACTCAATTCAATTAATAAGACATGAAGATTTTGCATGATGCATAAGAAAGATACAAAGATTTTTTAGAAGGTATCATGATCATGGCATTTTGAATTGATTGCAAATTCAAGCATTTTATAACAGGTTAATGAGCAAACAAAAATTATTGTTGACACACATCAAAAGAAGCATTAATGGTCAAGATATCAGATTAAGCATATGCATTTTTTAAAGAGATAGGAGCCAAATAATTACCAATGACCAACAGAAAGATCCAACACTAAAAAAATTGTTAAAGTACGTGATATTGTTCCTTTGACGGCTGTCATATATCGAAATTTGAAAACATGACTTTTAGACGCAATATTAGTTACCATTAATATTTTTTAAACTAAGTGCTATTAGTCATTTAATGAATCATCTTTTTAAAAGATGTGATAAAATTAACTAAGAGTTCTAAAAGAATAATTTTTTGTCTGTGAAATAGAGCTAAGTTCAGGAGTTTGATTATGTGTAAAGAAAGTACTATTACTTCCATAACGTTTACCTAAATGATAATACCAAATAATTTTATGTTGTCATATACTGTCCTAGTTAAATGGTGTTTTTATTCATAAATAAATTTTACTATTAAAATATTAGAAAGAATGCTTTATGTTTTCTTTATCATTTTAAGGGAATTCCTAAAAATTGTTCTTACCTTATGAGCATTCAAGAATCTCTTTTTTTTTCTAAGAGACTCTATCATATAATTCATTAAATGTTTTATGAAAAATGTTTAAAGTCTAATTTTGGAATTACTTCTAAATTTTCTTATTTTTATTTTTTCTTGATAATAAATATCCATTATTCATATTGAAATTTTTATCTAAACTTCTTTATCATTTTAACCAAATTTAGAAAAAAAAAAAAAACAATT